CTATCCCTCTAAAAAGCTTGTCTAGCTGTTAGATTCCTCAGCTTACCTCTTGAAAGGGAGAAATCAACAAATGAAGCAGTGCTCCCAGCAGCCTCTCAGCATCATCTAAACCTGCTCAAATTTCCATCAGATTCTGCAGCCTAAAGAACAAGCTTTCAATCTCCAAGCCACAAAGAGCTTATCCTGCAGTTCATAAAGTATCAACAGAAGAGACTCAGAAGCCTCAACACATGAATGACACTGCACAAAAACAATGCTTTAAAAAATTACATCACTTGTTCTTAGCCAATTAGACCTCAAAGTTCCCTATTGCCTCTGAAAGAATACACCTTTATACCAGAATACTATCTAGGAGATAACAGAATCGATGAAAAAGGTACAGAGGCAAAGTATAACAGGAACAATCCTCTAAGAACTGCTTTGTTTCCACAGGGCCATTCTGGTGCAAATTGAAGCAAGGGAATTTGCAAAGAACAACACATGGCTCCATCAGCAAATTTAGGTTCAGAAGTGCCCACTGAGAGACTGGAAATGTGACTGCACATGCTCAGGATGCACTATGTGGAAACGAGTGCTATTCATTATTCAGTCTTACAGAAGGTTTGTTTAACAGGACATGAAAAACAAGAGGCAGAAGGAGTCTCTTCGTAACTGTCTGAAGGGGGTACCTGTTGCTCCATTAGAACTGAGATGGGAATTTCTTCTCTTCCCATGAAACTGCCTCTTACATTTCACACATCTCTCCCTGCAGGCATGTGAGGAACACTGCACTGATGCTCCCATTTCAACTGCCATAGCTGAGAAATATAAGACACTATTATACACTCATCTAAACACGTACCTGAACATTTTTTCAAATCCAAGAATACACAAATGAAAAAGCTGGATGTAAAACGCACAAACTGCTTGAGGTGTTCCCAACTAATTTCAAAGCAACCAAACACAAAAGAGATACAAAACGGGTTCCACAAAAGCAGTGTTACTACTTAAAATATCAGGGTTGGGTTTTTTTCTGGTTTGTGACTACCTTCTGGTATCTTCTGTTTGAAGAAGGCAGAAACCAGCAAGCAGTACACATCTTCACTCAAATCCAAGTTTAAGTCCATTGTCCCTTAGAGGAGCTTTTAACACATACCTAACTTTGCATCCAAGGACCTACCACAAAGGTAAGCCAAATTACATCTTGGTTGTACTAAAACTGCAGTTTCAGTCTTCAAAACATTGGGCATAACCACTAGCCACTGCAGCACTGTCAGTCTACGCCTGCAGGGACCCTAAAGACATCAGTCAGATTCAAAGTGGTCCACAAGTTCTTATCCATATGCCAACTATAATACTTTCCTTATCAACAACATCAATCCCCAAACACTCAAAATCATACTGTGTAGAAAGCATATGTAACTCCAATTAAATACACTGCATAGATCTGTACCAGTAGTCCCACCACAGCACTAGACATGCTCCCTGGGAAAAAAAAGAAGATACTGTAAAAGAGGATATTGTAGACATAAACTTTGAAAGTGGTTCTTTAGTACCAAGTGCCATTTCTAAAGGATGTTTCTTTTACTTCCCTGAGAAATAAAATGCTCACACAAGTTTGGAAAATGCTTGTCCAGCAACTCCAGCTGGCTGGATAAGCACATCCATAAAGGACAGCAACACCAGTAGCATAGGAATTCTCAGTGCACCACAAAGATGATTATTTACAAGCCTTAAAAGATGACATCCTGACTGCTGAGGAACAGCCTGATGAGAAACAGTTGGGACTTGAATAAGCCAGATTTGTCAGAAAGAATGCTCCTTTCAAAACCCACCCTTGACATGGAAGCACATAGCTCCCCGTAAAATGATTGCCTCCTTGAAGAGATCAGGCTAAATTTAAGCATGACAAAATGTCTCTCAAAGAAGCCCCTGACCAGCAAATGAATTAGAGGACAAAACCAGATATCAGTCTTGCATTTGAACAATGTGGTCCTGAGTTTAAGAGCGGATGAGAAGCAAATGATAGTCTAAGGATCATCACCGAGAATTGTTTAAAAAAAAAAAAAAATACTGCCACACTCCAAAGCACAGGACGATGCTGCAGCAACCATCTTGGGACAAATGAAGTTCTATAACAATGCAGACATTTACAGAGCTATCTATGTTCTGTTCCTCTGCCAATAACAGCAAAACATTTAAGAGAACAACTGAGAGAACACAGTATTTGATCCCCTACAATATCTGTTTGAGGTAGTCGACACACTGTCAACACTAAACATATTTGACAGCTGCATACCTGACATTAACACTGACCTTGCAGAGTGCACTCAAAGCGCATTTGAGAAAATCTGAACTGCAGAACAGCATGTAGAAGATGAAAGGTTTAGAAGACCACCTAAGTAGACACAAAACAAACCTGTAAGACCTCTCAAGCCTAAGCATGGCCACAACGTAGAGTTTATGTTTACAAGAGGAAATTACTATATTAAGCTTGCTCATTTATAAAGACAGTAAATAGAAAGGTAAATACATACACTGCCATACAGATGTGGGCCTTACACACTTTAAATAGTTTGCTATCAGGTACAGTAAAAAGCAGTAATCATCCTTGTAAGAATCTCACAATTTCAAATCCTGAACTGAAATTCATGATTTACTGGCAGGTACACACAATTCTCTCATTCCTATCTACTATCAATACTCAGATGAACATGACAGAAGGGATGCGAACAAAAGTTCTGTGGGGAACTCAACGTTTCAAAAAAAGATCAATAGAACCACATACAGCGTCACCAGACAAAAGGGAAATGATTTCTCAATTTTCCCCATGAGGAGGAAAAGGAAAAAGCTCCTAGCCAGGTAAAAAGTTCATGGGAAAGAAAGGAAAAGATTTGATAATTTAAATACTTTCAGAATATGTAATTAAAAGCTTTCTCAAGATTACAAGATTATAACTGGATTGGCATGACTTTGAAGTTCAAGTAGCATTTAGCTATATTTTACCTTTATCAAACCTCATTTAGAAGTTGGTTTTCATTAAAAATACAAGGATGCAATTAAAAAAAGCCCCAAACCCAAGTTATTCATTCAAGCATCTTTAATTGCATATGAAGAACAGGACTGTTGTAACTGAAGACAATCTGCACAAACAAAGCCTCTTAAGACAGCCTATTTTCTAATGCTTGATATTCGTACAGTTCCATCAATCAAAATAAAAATCTAGGTCATCAGTATTTTCAGCCAAGATGCCGAAAAAAACCCAGCACATCTTAGGAACCAAAGATTTTCAGCAAAGTGTGCAGAAAATCTGCAAACCTTCTGAGATACACTTCTGGCAGAACTTTGATCTTTTTCTACTCCACCCCAAATACCAGTTTGTTCCACCTTCAGTACCTCTTCAGATACCCTGCCTCTTCAGATACCCTGAAGTCGAAGGAAGAAGGTTCTGCCCAAAAAGAATCTTGGACTGACAGAAGTTTTTCATATATACACTACTGTAAATTCTGTTTTTATACATGCTCTTTTCTAATTCACATCCACCAATATTCAGAAAATAACAAATTACCACATAGGATTTACTTAACGTCAGGAAAAATATACTCTCAGAATCAGGATTTTTACCAGAGCATCACTAACATCGTTTACCATCAAAATCTACCCTTTGAAAGCTATTGTGAAATAAATCAGTATCTTCTTGTCTTTAAATGCAAGAAAAGCATCTCAGCATAGAATCCACTGACATCCATGGACAAGATGAAGAATTTCAGACGTTAGCTGAGACAAAGATACTGCCTAGAACTTTTGTTTCTGGGAAATCAGTTATACTTCAAAAGATAGGAGTAACACCTCAAAAGACAGGGAAGAGATTACCAAGGGTTGTGGGTTCCAGCCCTTTGAAAAGAAAGGAGAGCAAGGAGGGAGCACCACCCGAGGCTCAGTCAACCCACGCAGACATAGGACAAGACACATCAGCCCCCATGACCACCACACCAGCCCTTACGAGTAGCGGACTAAGAAGGCCAAGCGGTGGAAGCAAAATCAGAGTCCCCTACCAGGAAGAGTTAAGCACCTGCACATAGTTATGGGGTGTGCCAGGACTTTTTATACAGGTAAGGGGGCATTTCAACAGATAAAGTTTCCAGCACAGTTTTATATACTGTTTTTAATGTGTTTCAAAGGGGCACCAATTCTGATACGCTGTCCCCGAGACACCTTCTGGAATAATTTTTTTCATCTGCTATTGGAAAACACCTCAGACTGTCCCAAGCAAAACAACCAACATTCTTGGCGTTTTGATCCACTTGGTCTTTTGATGTCTTCTGGTGTTTCTAGATAGCCACAGCCAGCAAGTTACTGGCAAGCCTGAAAAGGTCTGGTTTCACCACCAAAAGCCAATCCTGGGCAAGGCCTTGTTTGCCATGTTGCTGTGTGGTTATACCAGAAAGCTTATAGCCCAAGGACAGCAAGAAACTGAGATCGCTGCACCATTTCTACTACCTATTCAGCAGGACAAGCCTTCTACTCACTTTTTCAGTCACTGGCATGCAAGAGAAGTACTGAAATATAATTTGCATCCAAATTAATTTCTATGAAAGCATTTTCCTTCAACTCACAGTTCCCACTGGTGAGATAGAAGCCATGCATAAAAAAAAGCCAATGCTCAACCACAGCAGCAGGGAAAAAGAGGTAGGTACACTGACTTGGCAGTGGAATAAGAGAAGAGTCTCAACAGACCTGGAAAAGGAGCAAAAGATGGCCAAAAGGAAAAAAAAATTTCAATGCTCACAGAATGTTTAACCCACATTTCTGGCAACTGGGAGGCTGCGTTATGAACCACATGCACTACAGAGTGACAGTCTGCTAAAACAATACTATCATGGTTGCATTAAAATTTTCCAACAAAATTTCTCAAAAAAGGATAGGAAAAGCCTCTTGCCCTCGACATACAACTCTAGTGGGATTCCAGGAAACCTAGCCTATGCACAACCAACAGCCCAAGTGTGTTTCAGATGACTTACATGACACCTTGAAGAACTTTCTGTGGATCGAGGTCAAATAATCTATCAACATAGTGGCGGCTACTAGCCGTTACCTCCTGCGGAGAAGAAAAAAAAAATTGTAATAGTTTATATCAATTCATGTAATGGCAGACAAACAGGACTGGCTAACGCAGCAGCAAGTCTACAAAACCTATCAGGCAAGAAAGCAGCAAACCCACAGAACCATATTTAAATGTGCAGTTTGTTACTGCTGGGCAACATCCACACAAAGAATTAATCCTGTGTTCAAGTGTGATTTAGAGAAGCTGATGTACTTAATGTAGCTAACAATGTGTTACGAGTCAAAGCAAGTTAACAGAGAGCTATTTATGAACAGGGCACATAAAAGGGGTCTACTTCCATTATCAGCACTGCCTTAAATTCCAATTTTGTTATGTTTAATTACTCTACATAAAAAACATGAATTCCTGAAACAAAAAGTTTATAAGAGCAGTTAGTGTTGCTCAAGAAGCAAACCCACAAACTCTCAAAAATAAGGAACCTCATATCAAGAAATTTTTCTTTAACTTACTTTATTGCAACATATCTACACATTTCAGAGATTGTCCTTCTATAAACTGTCCCACACAACTTTAAAAGGGACAGCAGCACAATATTCTCCACAATACCCGCATAGCTACTTTCTAAGACAAAGTGAACTCTCTTCTCAGCAACAGGATTGTGCTTGTAAGCTAAACATTTATGCACCAATAATTTGTTATTCCCTTTGAGATGATCCAAAGCTAGAGATAGCAAGTGTTCCAAAAAACAAGGGTGGGAAACAAGAAGGGAATTTTCCCTCCAGGTTCTCAGGAACATGTGCCAGGGTGTGTTTCCATTATCTCACTTTTTTTTTCCTTTTTGCCAGCTCAACTTTTTATTAGGCTTTTCCCATTTTTTCCTTATGAATTTTCCTTGATAGAAGTTGTAAGTGAACTGAAAACTCTTACTTTTGCAAGCATCTACTCTTTGGCTGAATCTGCTCCTGCTTTCTCACCCAGATGTCAGAAGCACCAGCAGCTTCTTGCCTGTAGTCTCACTAACTCTGAGAGAAGAATCATCCAGATGCAGCAAGACTCCTTCGTCTTCAGGAATACTATTAAATTATGCCAAATAAATTCTACAGATATATCTTCCACCATGCAATGAAAGACAATACTTTTGAGAACAGCAAAAGTCTGATTTGATCTATGTATTTACACACAAAAGTCTTCTGGACTTGAGACATCCCACTGCTTTCTGTTTCTAAAATATCCTGCCTTCCACCCTATCAACTACTAGGTTTGCAACATGTAGAACAAGGGCGTTCATATCCAGGCAAACAAGTTTTTCAAGTAGTCCCCAAAAATAAAGAATTTATCAACATCATCAGTTTCATGGTTCTCTTACCCAGGACGAAATTCTAAGGAAAAAAAAAAAAAAAGAAAATCCCCCAAATCTCATGTCTTTTAAGCAGTACCCATGCTATACCTTGCGCATTGTTACTGCCAGCACACGACTCTGATGAGCAGCAGCACTGGTCAACCAGCACCGGCTGTTCTACTTACTCAGCTTTCCCCAAGGAAAGGAAACTAGTGGTAGTTGTCAGACCCCCCTTCCGCAACACCAGCGCCCTGCCCACAGATGCCACACATGAGCCTCCTCCCTGCAGCAAAAGCCAACAAGGCCGCGTGGTGAGATCCCGAAGAACTATTACAAGAACATCAGCGTTTCACCACCAAAACACCCACTTGCTAGCAAAGGCCGGGAGAACACGCTTCGCTGGCCGCCACACTTCTGAGAGAGACCCTACTCTTTTCAGCAGCCTGGTTATCACTGCTCCAAATAATGTCAGCGAACCCTCTTTTTGCTGAAGAGGAGTTTTGAGGGACCAGTAACATTCACAGGAGGGCAGCTGAAGACTGCGAGTCGCGCCATGAGGTAAACATACGTTCAGAACAGCCCATACCTCTAACAAAAATAGGAACAGAACCCTCAGAAAAGGGAGGAATGGAAGAGAAAACCCCCTCCAGGAAAAAGTTGGTGCGAGGGAGTGGAGGGAGGACACGAGCGAAGGAGCGCCCTACAGCCGCCCATGTCACCCCTGCGGCCCACCGCAGCTCGCCAGGCCCATTCCCG